GACAACACAGGCCACAGCTCCTGTAGAGTCTCTGATCTGCAGAGTGTGTTTGTGTTCAGATGTCAGAGACGAAAGCTCCAACACCCCGACCAGCAGCAGGGGGCGCCGTCTGTCGCAGAGGGACGGTAACTGTTAACACCTGTTATATAGTAGGTATCATCAGTATACGAATGTGTATCACATGGATTATAAAGAATTTATACTGCATGTTTTTTCACTGCTGCTACTCCATAATATGTTGGCCAAATGTGTTTCTCTTATTATTTTGTTGCTACAGAAAAACATTTATTTTTCTGAATATGTGGTCTAATGATGTGGGAGTGTGTTGTTGTCTGTGTCAGTCCTGTGATAGAATCATGCTGAACATTGGCCCAATCGGTTGTTGTCTCGTGTGAGAGGGTTCTATCACCAGATCAATCACCTTATGGTTCCTCAGGTCAGAAGTCAGAGTTTACCTGAGTGTCTCTTTGGTCTGGGGGTTGTTGTGAGGGTCAGAGGTCAAAGTCCTGAGGGACCAGGACAAAGCTGTGTTTATCTGAGAACTGGTCAGACTGGATCCACCAGAAGGCAGCAGGGAGCTCAGACAGACTGAAGACCAGGACTCTGACAGGAGAGACTGACTGAGCTCTGAGAGACTTATGTACTGATGGACCACAGGGTGGACACTGTACTGTAGAGACACATCGGAATGTAGAGACATCAGAATGTAGAGACACATACATTGGAATGTACAGACACAGAGACATCAGGATGTAGAGACACAGAGACATCAGGATGTAGAGACACAGGGACATCAGAATGTAGAGACACAGAGACATCAGGATGTAGAGACACAGCGACATCGGAATGTAGAGACAACGGAATGTAGAGACACCAGAATGTAGAAACACCAGAATATAGAGATAGACACATCGGAATGTAGAGATAGAGACATCGGAATGTAGAGACACAGAGACATCAGGATGTACAGTGCCTTGCGAAAGTATTTGGCCCCCTTGAACTTTGCGACCTTTTGCCACATTTCAGGCTTCAAACATAAAGATATAAAACTGTAATTTTTTGTGAAGAATCAACAACAAGTGGGACACAATCATGAAGTGGAACGAAATTTATTGGATATTTCAAACTTTTTTAACAAATAAAAAACTGAATAATTGGGCGTGCAAAATTATTCAGCCCCTTTACTTTCAGTGCAGCAAACTCTCTCCAGAAGTTCAGTGAGGATCTCTGAATGATCCAATGTTGACCTAAATGACTAATGATGATAAATAGAATCCACCTGTGTGTAATCAAGTCTCCGTATAAATGCACCTGCACTGTGATAGTCTCAGAGGTCTGTTTAAAGCGCAGAGAGCATCATGAAGAACAAGGAACACACCAGGCAGGTCCGAGATACTGTTGTGGAGAAGTTTAAAGCCGGATTTGGATACAAAAAGATTTCCCAAGCTTTAAACATCCCAAGGAGCACTGTGCAAGCGATAATATTGAAATGGAAGGAGTATCAGACCACTGCAAATCTACCAAGACCTGGCCGTCCCTCTAAACTTTCAGCTCATACAAGGAGAAGACTGATCAGAGATGCAGCCAAGAGGCCCATGATCACTCTGGATGAACTGCAGAGATCTACAGCTGAGGTGGGAGACTCTGTCCATAGGACAACAATCAGTCGTATACTGCACAAATCTGGCCTTTATGGAAGAGTGGCAAGAAGAAAGCCATTTCTTAAAGATATCCATAAAAAGTGTCGTTTAAAGTTTGCCACAAGCCACCTGGGAGACGCACCAAACATGTGGAAGAAGGTGCTCTGGTCAGATGAAACCAAAATCGAACTTTTTGGCAACAATGCAAAATGTTATGTTTGGCGTAAAAGCAACACAGCTCATCACCCTGAACACACCATCCCCACTGTCAAACATGGTGGTGGCAGCATCCTGGTTTGGGCCTGCTTTTCTTCAGCAGGGACAGGGAAGGTGGTTAAAATTGATGGGAAGATGGATGGAGCCAAATACAGGACCATTCTGGAAGGAAACCTGATGGAGTCTGCAAAAGACCTGAGACTGGGACGGAGATTTGTCTTCCAACAAGACAATGATCCAAAACATAAAGCAAATTCTACAATGGAATGGTTCACAAATAAACATATCCAGGTGTTAGAATGGCCAAGTCAAAGTCCAGACCTGAATCCAATCGTGAATCTGTGGAAAGAACTGAAAACTGCTGTTCACAAACGCTCTCTATCCAACCTCACTGAGCTCGAGCTGTTTTGCAAGGCGGAATGGGCAAAAATTTCAGTCTCTTGATGTGCAAAACTGATAGAGACATACCCCAAGTGACTTACAGCTGTAATCGCAGCAAAAGGTGGCGCTACAAAGTATTAACTTAAGGGGGCTGAATAATTTTGCACGGCCAATTTTTCAGTTTTTTATTTGTTAAAAACGTTTGAAATATCCAATAAATTTCGTTCCACTTCATGATTGTGTCCCACTTGTTGTTGATTCTTCACAAAAAATTACAGTTTTATATCTTTATGTTTGAAGCCTGAAATGTGGCAAAAGGTCGCAAAGTTCAAGGGGGCCGAATACTTTCGCAAGGCACTGTAGATACACATGGATGCCATTTTGAAGACATGCTAAGAGGCCGGACCATAGTGACACAGAGGACACTGGACTGCCCAAGACAGGTGTATCTACCTGGGTCAGGGGACAGGTATGAGGCTCGTCCAGCATCTCAGAGTAAATATCTCTCCTTCCTCTTCCTCGTCTCCACACTAACTCCATCAGCTTCCAGGACAACACACACACACACTGTTGCTTTAACACACTGGGGACCAGACTGGAGACAGAGACACTCTGGTCAGTTTATTAGGAACACCTGTCTCAGTCTAATCCTGCAGTAAATCCTCCTTCATCACAGCAAACAGAACAAATCAGCTTCTACTGTATAAACATGAACTGAAAATAATTTCAGACCCAGGCTGTGTTTAATAGCATCCACCCTCCTCCACCTGTGGACTCACCTGTGTGACAGCTGTGACCTCAGGTGACACGCCCACAGGTACTCAGACACGCCCATGTTTTTGTCTAGCAGTAACCGTGGCAGCACTCCATCATTGGAACAGGTGGAATCAGGTGGAGATCCCCCTACCCTGCTGAAAGAGGTGACCCTGATGCTGGAGCGCAGACAGGTGCAGAGCATGCTGGGAGGAAACTCAGGACAGGGCCGGTACAGGAAGTGGACATGATGGAGCTGCAGGAGGACGTCCAAGACAACTTCCTTAACAAATTAATGTTACAACTCACCCGTGTACATTTATATACTGAAAAAATATGATGTAATATGACACTGACCAATAAGGGAACAACAGAGATCACACCTGTGCTCTGACTCACCTCCACACAGTCTCCTGCTCTCAGTCTCCTCCTCAGAGTCGGCTGATAGGCCAGGCAAAGACCCACCTTCCTGTCAATCACGTACAGCCCCGCCCCCTCACTCACCACCTCAGTCACCATGCCCTATCAGAAGAGATGGACAGGGCTTATCACTCAGGTAACATCAACAGGTAAAACTGAAACATTCTGACAGCCAATCAGAGCTCAGTCTCCTATCTCACCTGGTAACTGATGACTTTGGACTGTTTGATCCTGACACCTGATTGGATGAAGTCTCTCTCGGGCTCTGCCTCCTCATAGTTATCATCGTGTGACATCATTATCTCAGGGGGCGTGTCCGAATGTGACCTCGTGTGTGTGTGGTCCACAAGTGTGGGTTCCAGTGTGTAGTCTGTGTGTATCTCTGATTGGTCAGTCACACACAGGATGTTATTTCCTCTCCAGCCTCGCAGGACACACACACGCAGCGCCGACACACACACACTCTGACCGACACACAGAAACTGAGACCACCACAGCCTGCTGCCCTCCTGTAGGCAGACAGGTCAGAGACAGATGGGTCAAAGACATTCAGGTGAAAGATAGACAGGCGGGTTACTCAGACAGACAGGTGTCGTACCTTTACGAGCACAGGTAGCATGCATCTTTCGCCTGTCAGTGTGAAGCAGAAGAAGGTTGTTCCTGCCACGACCAACAGAGGGCACACTGAACCCACCTGTCCACAGACCGCCACCCGTTGCCCTCTGACCCTGAGACAGAGAGACGGGTTAGTCAGGGAGAGACAGGTCAGACAGAGCACAGACAGACAGGTGATGACCCACCTGTGCTGCAGAACACCTGCAGCCTCTCTAACCCCGAATACTTTGCTAAGCCCCGCCCCTCCTCCAGCACCAGTGGCCAATCCCTGCTCAGAACCAGGACAGAGCGGCACAGGAGAACCAATCAGTTCCACCCAGCCTCCGGCCTCATCCTGCCCTGAGGCACTGTGGGGGATGTAGTTCCAGCACGGGAGTAAGACAGGATGATTCAGCCACAGAGGAGAGGGAGACAGGACCTGCAGAGAGACACAGGTGTTACACTGTGCAGCTGCAGGTGAGAAAAGACAGCAGAGCAGACAGGGTGACAGGAGGGTTTCAAACTCCTTCACACTCTGAGGAGGTCACAGCTGTGTCTGCTACATGTGGAATAAAGACTGACTCTGGATCCTCTGGACCTGTGATGCCTCAGACTGAGGAGCTACTTAAAGACTCGCTCCTGAAGTCAGGACTGATATGCTCTGAGCTATTGTTAGCCTGACCGTAGGCTCATTTGAGCTACACTGCACCTCTCCTGGTAAGGGGACGAGTGCAGGTGGCGCAGCAGTCAAGACGGACAGTTTGAGCTGTCCACCAGCCTTCAGTCTGTAATGGAAGTCACAGAAACTCACATCCTGATCCTGACTTAATAAAATGCCATCAAATCAAACTGTCAGCGACTCTGGTTCAGAGAGTAGAGCAGTTGTCTCCCAACCGGAGGGTCGGTGGGCCACAGAAGCCTGTAGTCCACATGTCAAAGTGTCTTTGGGCAAGACACTGAACCCCCAAGTTGCCCCCAATGGTTAGAGCCATCGGTGTGAGTTAGTGCCACAGATGGCTGCCTCGGTTTTGTACTGGAAACAAATGCCTTGTGTGTGTGTAACATACTTGGCCAAATAAAGGTGATTATTATGTGATTAGCTTCTCCTCAGGGTCTAAACAGCTGCTGATTTAATGACGTCCTTGAGAGTGAGAACATGGTGACCTGTGTTGGTACAGGACATGTCCTGTCCTGTACTGACTGTGTTTAGCTTCTCTGATAAACGTCACTGTCAGCCACACTTTTACTCTGCTAACAGAATAAACCTTCATAGTGCAAAGACCAACTAATAAAATCACAGTTGCTGTGATTAGGATAAGCATAAGGATAATCACCTTTATTGGCCAAGTATGTTACACACAAGGAATTTGTTTCCAGTACAGAACTGATGGCAGCCATCTGCGGCGCCAACTCAACCAATGGCTCTAACCATTATACAAGAAATGATGCATTTCTATGAAACTTCATGTTGTTGATCCAGCATATCAACCAATCAGCTCTCAGATCGGGTGAGAACCAGGTGTTTCCCATCATGCCCTGAGATCCTGCAGTTGGTGAAGAGCAACTGCGGCATCAGGCTCCAAAAACTTGCAGCCGCCTCAATCCCATGAGAATATTGTTGACCACGTGGGCATTATATCAGATCAAGCTCCGCCTTCAGACTCACCTCACACCTGATGCTCCCACTGCTGTCCATCAGTCTCCACTCTCCGCCCCGCCCTGCTCTCAGACAGCCAATAAGCAGTAGGTTGACCCGCGGCAGAGCCCGGTGACCTGACAGAGAGAGCTCAGCCTCCCTTGCCCATGCTCGCTGTTGACTGGTGGTCCAGGACAAGTGACTGACACAGGCCAGGTGCTGCCTGGAGACCAGCTCAGACACAGACACCGGCCTGGAGACAAGGACAGGGACAGGAGGGGTCAGAGGTCAGAGACAAAACTACAGACACTGTACAGGTTTAAGCATTAAAAAAGTGAAAGTAGACAGGTAGCAGTGACCTGCAGTCGTACCTGTAGCTGACAGGTAAGGTGTGTGTGACGGTCATGTTCTCCTGGATCTTCTTCACCACACACACACTCAGAGACACACAGTGATCAGAGTGCATACCTGAAACCACAACATCACTAAACATCTGGACTAACACCTGATGATGACAGCAGTCACTGTGACCTCTGACTTTTGTGAACACAATCTACTGCATGTAGTTTTCGAATGCCATGTCTAAACAGGTGTTGTACATGTAGCCTGCGACTCTCTGACCCACTCTGTGCTGTTTTATTTGTTTTAGTAGCGACAAACACAAATACAACTGCAAATGAACGGAGCCATAAACAGACTGATACATTCCTTCTGTATCTGACCTGGATGAAACTGTTCATGTCTGTTGTTTTTATTACACAGCCTCATTAATTCACCTTTCCACAGGTACTCTAATGTGACACAACCACAGACGCTGATTGGATGACTCACCTGTCAATAATTCTTCAGCAGTGGGAGGGGCGGGACACACTGGATACAGGTATTGTGTGATGAAGCTGAACATCTCCTGTAACCACATGGACTCCTGCAGGACCGACATTTACCTGTTTATTAATAAAACCTGCAGCAGAGACACGAACAGTCCGCAGAACCACACTGAACAACGTCTAACAGCTCAACACAAACTACTGAAACGCACAGACCCACAACGACGAGCTGGTAAGTCTGTAGTTTGTCTTGTCATATGTCACCGGGCTGCTAAGAGCCGGAAAATAATCATCAGCACCTTCATTACGCGACGTTGTCAGTTTAACATTATATCTCAGAATCTGCTTTATTGGCCTGGTGTGTCGGACACACGAGGAATTTGACTCTGGTACATCGGCTCTCAATGTGCATGTACATATCCCCATGCAAGGGGCAAGTAAACTGTAAACCGGCTGTGTACGGCTGTGTAATGTAACAAAATAAGCAGTATTAACAAGCAACAAACAATGCAAAGTAAGCAGTATAAACAGGCAGTGAACAATGCAGACAAAGGAATGCTCATTGTGAAATAAGATAAATATGAATAAGTAAGCAGTAGACCAGCATAAGGCTGTGTAATATAACAAAATATGGTGTTTATTTTACTGCCGACATTAATAGTTTTGATGCTGAGATGTCATGTAAGCCGAGGTTAATAAAACCTGTTCACAACTCCAAGCCAGGCTTTAGTCTTCTACTGCCATCTTTCTGTTATCGGTGATAATGTAATTATCCTTAAACTGACATATTTCTGAACGAAGTCCCTGCTGATAGTTACAAACTGACGTGAGTACTCACGGCTTCACTGCAGGGTTTAAACTGGTCCAGGAACAGCTGCACGGAGGACGACATCAGGTCAGTCACACCTGAACACCGAGATCTGGTGTTCGTTTTTCTTTTTAAACCAAAGATCAGCGGTGTCTTATTTCAGACTTCGAGCATGTAAACAATCGCTCCTTCACAAAATCATCTGCTTCCTGTTAATGTACGGTGTCCGGGCAGGGTCAATTCGGTGTTTTACTACCATAGACCGTATATAAAAGGATATAAATAGACGACGCCTCAATACTCCTCTCCACTATGCAAAATGAAACTAAAATGATGTGAATAAACACAGAGCAAATCAGGACAGATCCACACCATTGACTGAAGGCACCTATTTGATGATTGTCTTTTTACAAAAAAAAGAAAAATGTTTAAAATCTGTAAGTAATCTGTGACCCATGCATACATATATTCTGGAGACATTGGGAACTGGTGATAAAGGTGGTGAGGTGGCGAAATGAAGTCCTTATTGATTATTTGCGCTTGTAGTGAGTGATAACTATTTCATAAACACCATCTTGTAAAATCCAACTCAAACCTTAATTGAGTTTCAAGTCAAGTCAAGAATCTTTATTGTCATTATGCATAGCACAATGAAATTTCTTCCGGCAGCTCTCGGCTTAAAAGACATTATTTACATAACACAAAAATTGTAGTCAATATAAAAATATGGACAGATAAATATGAAAATGTATGAGACCTAATCAGGTCAACAGCATATTAGCAGCAGAAGAATATAGTCACATTCTAGAGTGCAGCTCAGTGCACGTTCGTTCTATATAATAATTCATCGCTGTCTCAACATCACGTTGTCCACTCCAGGAGCACAGGAGAAGATGGCTCTACTCCATGGAATACAGGCTAGCATCCAATAATCGCAGGACACCATGATAATAATGTTTCCTTAAATACTGTGCATGTATCATCAAATGCCATTAAGTTCTTGCACAATCGTTACCCACTCTATCCTCGTTACTGGTCCTAACTATAATGGTGTTCATAACAAAACCGGCATGAAGAAAACAAGCACATGAAAGTAAAACATTCTCAAATACTCAAGCAACACAAGTTAAATACATGTCAGTAAAGGAGTAGAAATATGTAGTGTGCTTTTAGACTGGACCATGTACAGTTCTGTGAACAGTATTCACCCGCCTCCTGGTTTCTTATTTTTTGTCACATGTAGGGTCGGATAGCTTTTTTTCCCTTAATAAATCAAATAAAATAATGACTTGAAGACTGCATTTTGTGTTTACTTGGATAATCTTTGTCTAATTTAAATTTGTGTGATGATCTGAAACATTTAAATATGACGTGCAATAAAATTAGAAACCAGGAAGGGGGCAAATACTTTTTCACAGCACTAAGTTCTGGCGCCATCTGCTCTGTCCCACTGACACAGTTGACAGCAGCAGCAACATGTTGCCATATTGTCTGAACATGTATCTGGGTTACATTTCTCTTACAAAGCAGCATCTGATCAGTTTGCTACTGTATTTGAGCTGACCTACATGAAACAGAGGTGTGAACAGGGGAAACGAATCTTGATGGAGGAAAAAAAAAAAACACTGACAAATAAGCTATGTTTTTTACAATGACAGTACCTCAAATCCTACCTGACATGTTTGAGCCAGAATGTAAAAGTGGACAGCACCATGAACAACAACAGCATGAATTAATTTGACTTTCTCCTCCATAGGTAAACAACAGTATATGTAACAATTGAAAAGAGATTTGTAATGCGAGGGACTTGTGGGGGAAGACGACCACTGGTTGGATTTACCGACCTTGGAGCTACCTAAAAGGGAGCGATGCTTCCACTACTCGGTGGGACTTAACGGTAAGTTTAAAAAACACAGGTTTGTTAATGCCTTGTTTCTGTAACGTTAGTGAGAATTGTTGTAAGGCTGGAGAAGTTAATATGTCTGCATTATGCCAGTTAAAATATGGGGTTTCTCCGTTAACCACTTTGTTTAGAGTGTTGCACATCTCTTTTCATCGGTACATATACCATTGTTTACCTGTCTATGGAGGAGACATTCAAATTAATTAATGCTGCTGCAGTTCCTCCTGCTGTCCACTTTCATATTCTGGTTCGAACATGTCAGGAAGGATTTGAGAGGTATTGTCATTGTTGAACACACAGCTTATCTGTCTGTATTTTTTTGTGTGTGTCCCTGTCGATCTTTCCCCTGTTCAAAACTTTCATGTAGAGCCCCTCTCAGTGGTTGTGGTTAGGATAATGTTGGGGTAAATGCATCTTGATGGGGAAACGGATTTCAACACCGGCAGCAGGAGTTGTGCGCAAACTGTCCTCTAATTTTCAGGAAGAGGCTCTCTAGTTTTATCATTCTGAAATAATTACAGACTATTGAGTTATGAGGGGTGCAAAGCTAATCTAGAGGTACCCAAGATTAAACATAAATTGGCTGGAAATGGGCATGCCATGGGCACTTAAACGAACATAATTTTATTGTTTAATCTGCCAATTTCTTAACATTTACATCTTAGAAAATGCAGAAAAACTGCAATTTCCAGTCGCTCAGAGGGTTAGTGTTCATTTTGTATGTATGTTTGACCAGTAGTCCCTAAATCATATTTGCTGATGGACTAATTGAGTAATCATTGCAGATAAAAATAAAAACCAAAAGATGCTAAACATCTCCATCTTCATCCCTGGTACTGCTGCTCTGTGGGCCCGCCTCTGACTCTTCGCCAATTGGACAGTTGCTTTAATATACACCAATTCTGACCAATTCGAGTAATACTAGCCCCACCCTGTTGTGAGCAGAATTCTTGCCCTGCTGGCGCTGTTGGGTGGGCGGAGCGGAGCTGTGTAGTAACGAGGTTTGACTTGCAGCCCTGTGAACCAATCACAGGTGAGTGATGAGACGTGTTCTACCCAGATTGGCTTCTCTTGTACTGCCCCCTGAATATTAATGACCAATGGGGGCGTTGCTCACCTCGAGTTCGAACCTGTTTGAGAGTGAACCAATGGCTGCAGTCATTGCTTCATCTCCAAAGAACAGAGATATTTATCCCCCTCGGTGGTGTTTCAGTCCTTTGAAGCCCAACAATGTCCCCTAACGACTGAGTCGTTATAGCCCAGTATTGGTGAAAGTCGTTACCTGTCTTTGAATCCTCCTCTGTCGACTGACGCTAATTGTCCTGGTGGGCATCTTTGGGCAGAGATCTCAAAACAGGATTGTAGATGGATGACAAGTTGTGTCTTAGTCCACCACCCCTATTTAGTGAGGGGTGTTCTATTTTTTACAAAAATAGCTTCCTTAATATATCTCCGACTTGAAAGATATTTCCCAGTTACTCTTAACCAGTGAAACTCAGAGAGACGTACAATTCCATATTTCCATTGCAGATGTGGCCCTTTGGTGTAAAACTGGCGCCAGGGTTAAAGATAAAATGTACATATTGAAAGTCTCACGTGGTGGTTTAACGTCTCTGGTTGAATTACCTTTTTATTTAGCTGCTAGCCGGTTAGGCTGTTGCTAGCAGAGGGGGATGGGGAGGCTAGCTCTGCAGAGGGCGGGAAGCAAATGGTGGCCCATTGTTCTGTCGAGGTTAGTCTGTTAGCATGGCTAGGCTAACTGTAGAAGACATGGCTAGCTCCGCGTTTCGTGCATATCTACGGCTCATAAGCTTCACTTACAGCCGGAGAGGAGGTGTTAGGTAATTTCTTAGTCAGATAGATATTTGTTAGACATCTGTTGTATTAGCAAATGTTTAGTGGAGACAGGCTGTCTATGCTCAGGCTGTTGGGTGCTCAGTTCATTGTCATGAGTTCTGCAGGCTGCATCTAGGCCAAGGTCAACTAGATTGCAGAGTGTGCAGACAGGATGAATATTGCTAGTAGCATGCTATGCTCAGCCGTAATCTTAATCATAATATCTTCTGAGGTTTACTGTTCGGACATGTCCCTCTGCGAGCAGCTTTGGGGGTGGAAGATGCCTGGACATGTAATGTTAATTCTTGCCTGTGACCCTTTGAATAAACCAGCACGGTTATATTTTTTTTATATACTCAAGTGGTCCGCTTCGTCTCACTGAGTTCCTGGTTTGAAAGAACCGGACGTGGCTTTATAATAGAATAGAGCCTTTAGAGGAACCTGGCTCCGGCGGGCTGTCCCTATACCACAACAGGCACAGGTTTGGTCCAGCCGGTATCGGAGCACCTTGTACTGTAACTGCCCGGTGGAGAAAATGGATCCCCTCTCTGTGCTTTGTTATTCATCCTCAGTTATGCTGAGGGGCCCTTATATCACCGTTAATCGGTAATGAACAACGGAGGAGGTTTGCGTCTCTGAGGTTAAAATATGAATTTAATAAGATGTATTTAAACATTTCAAGAGGTTAAATTGTGATTCTGTTGTAAACCAGATATATAAGTTAAAGGGTCATTCCACCCAAATTTGTTTACAGTGTTGGACCCAGAGACGAAGCAGTCTGAGGAACTTCAAAACAGTGCTGATTTATTCAATGAACACAGGTAAAAATTAACATTACATGCTCAGGAGTCTTTGCACCTCCAACATGCACGCAGGCAGCTGAAAGATGAAAAGCCCTGAACCATAACAGGCCTATACATTATATCACTTCGGGCTAGCCCCATACTACACAGGGATGCCAAACCGTGACGCCTCCCGGTTCTAGCTTTGCAGCTGGCCATAGCAGTAGTCAAAGCATGAAGAAAATCAATGTGTGAATGTCTGATGATTATGTGGTGTGTATCTAAGACATTCTGACATGACATTAAGCATAAGAAAATATTATGACTATGATTATGGTTAAACGCGTCATAACAATAATAATAAACATTCTGTCTCCTAACGGTAATCCAACTTTCTATCTAGTTAGCTTGAACCTGAACAACCTGGAGTACCCTTAAAAATGACTAAGCATTTAACAGCCTGAGCTAGATTGTGTCTACACTAAACATTTCTACAAAGTGTCTAACCAATGTCTATCTGACTAAAAATACGTAACAGCTTTCGTCCAGTCACCTGTGGAACATGTTGGATTTTAGCCAAATAAAAATGTTTATATATAAAAAACATTCCCCACTCCCCCCACCACTTCGGGGTGGTCTTTTCTTCCTTCAGCTCCTACTACCAGCTCGGTTCCTCTACTAGAGGCCTGGGATCTTGAGGGTCCTGCACAGTAT